ACATGGAGGAAATCGGAAAGAAGATGGAGGAAACTGTAAAGATGGGTGATGAAGATGAGGTGAATGCAAATGAGGATGAAGAGCAACAGTTGGAGGTAGGTGGAAATAAGGAAGAAGAGGAGGTGAATGTAAATAAGGATGAACATGAAGAGATGGAAGCAACTGGAAATAAGGATGAAGAGGTGGAGTTAGAGGAAGCTGGAAACGCAGAAGATGACAAAGCTATAAATAAGGATAAAGAGGAGGTGAATGCAAATAAAGATGAAGAGGAGAAAATGGAGGAAGTTGTAAAATAAGCAGGAGGCTTTTTGTGTTGATGTATCTATGGTTGAAAAAATAACAAAGGATGATGAGAAAAAGGATGATGAGAAGGCCGAAGTGAAAATACAAAAAGTTATGGAAGAAATAACAACTTTTCACATTCTCTCAAATATCACCGTTCACGAGGTTTAATTTCATACTCCACATTAAATGTTTGTTTAAACAAATTTTTGTATTTACTGTATTTAAACAATTGCGCCACATTTAATAATACTTTTCATTGTATTTAATAAGCAGATTTCAGATTCCACCAGTTTGTGGACCCCATCAGATGAGGATTATCCACCCATTTATGAAATTAGTGATTTTGATAAAATGTGTGTCTTGAATTACATTTTTGACAACACACTTGACATGAGGTATTTATACTATGTACCAATTCTCACATGTTATTCTTATATATTGTGGGAGCATCACCAATTATTAATCCATATTTTTCATTCTTATATATTGTGGGAGCATCACCAATCATTAATCCATATTTTTCATGAAACAATGAGACACTCGTTAGATTTGAAACATGTTCTGTGAAAAATATTCATTTATTGAATCTCTACAACCAAGAAAATGGTTGTTAGACATTGTGAGTTAAAAATGGATATATTTATTTATTGTGTTTTCCACTCATTGACCAAGTATTGATTTTGTACATTTTGACATGAAGATAATAGATTTGGCATCTTATATTATTCCGGATGATGTGAAATTTAATCCTTTTACAAAAAGGTCAAAGTGGTATCTATCCACATGGTTTGCGGTAACGTGTTTTATTTGATTTTTTTAATGTTGATTATTTGACTTTTTAAATCTTGAATATGTAAAATGTGGGTTAATGTGTAACCATATTTTACCTTCAATACCCAGTAAAAAGCAGTTNACTTCAAGTGGTGCAAACACCGGATATAAAGTCTATGAAACATACACCGCGATAGCATTCAAATGCTATTGTAAACACACCTCACCTTCAACCGGCTTCACACTCATGCACCCAAAAAAATTACAACCCAAAGCTGCAGCAAAAGTATAGTGCAAATGTGCTGAGAAGAAACTCTAGGCGGAAGCCAAGTAAACACTTGAAATCACCATATGATATTTTCNTATATTTATTTATTGTGTTTTCCACTCATTGACCAAGTATTGATTTTGTACATTTTGACATGAAGATAATAGATTTGGCATCTTATATTATTCCGGATGATGTGAAATTTAATCCTTTTACAAAAAGGTCAAAGTGGTATCTATCCACATGGTTTGCGGTAACGTGTTTTATTTGATTTTTTTAATGTTGATTATTTGACTTTTTAAATCTTGAATATGTAAAATGTGGGTTAATGTGTAACCATATTTTACCTTCAATACCCAGTAAAAAGCAGTTGGAAGGGTAAGGCAGGGAAACGAACAAGAAAAAACAATCGCATTGCTTGATTGTCAAAGGTATTTCGTTTTAGATTTCAAGGACTGTGATAAGGTACTAGGTGACCCTTTTTTTTTTTTTGTTTATAATTGTTCATTTACGCAATAATTAATATCTTATATTTCCTTATGTAGATATATATACCCATGAGTGACAATAACATCCATTGGTATTTATGCGTGGTGNTGACCCTTTTTTTTTGTTTGTTTATAATTGTTCATTTACACAATAATTAATATCTTATATTTCCTTATGTAGATATATATACCCATGAGTGACAATANCGACCCTTTTTTTTTTTTTGTTTATAATTGTTCATTTACGCAATAATTAATATCTTATATTTCCTTATGTAGATATATATACCCATGAGTGACAATAACATCCATTGGTATTTATGCGTGGTGGATGTAGTGAAGGAAAAAGTTTTATTATTTGATTTTCTACCATCATATCTGAACAATATCCGCTATTCTGCTGTTGCAAATATGATTAAACAATTAGATCAAGTCTTTCAGATTGTCATACCTAAGTACACGCCAACATTGACCAAGTGGCACATATATGGAGTGGATTGGGCTCCTAGGCAAACAAATAGTTATGACTGTTGAATATTTGTCATAAAGGAGATGCATGCTCAATTTTTGGATCACTCATTCAAAATTATGGTATGATTGCTATTCTCCTTATTTAATATTTTACAGCAAACATTAAATTTGTATATGTACCATTTGTCAATTTAACTATGGTTATTGGTTATTGTTTTTAGGATGAATCCAATACGATGTGTAAGGATCTAGCATTCAAAGTTATTACTCACATATACAACGAATCAAGAAATAAGATCATAAGCAAGGCACAACAATACCAACAAAAGAATTATGGTAAACAAAAGAATTATGGTAAAAATCGGAGATGATATGTGTGACATATTTTTTTTTTGTATACAAAAGTTGAAGTCATGTATAGTGTTTATGGCCTTCATTTAGTGGCACATATTGATTTTTTTGTATAAACAGAAATAACTAAATTGGAATCAATTCTTTTTTGCTAATGTTTTGCTGAATCAATTGCCTTGTTTTGATGAATCAATTTTTTTTGCCTTTGTTTTCCTAGCCATTGGGTGGTGGTTGTATTTTGTTGAATTATTTTTTTTTTGCCTGTGTTTTTCTGACCGAGGTTGGGTGATTTTGGTGATTTGTGGGGTGGTTGTTGTATTTTGTTGAATTATTTTTTTTTGCCTGTGTTTTGCTGACCGAGGTTGACTGATTTTGGTGATTTGTGATGTTTGATGTGCGAAAATATGTAGATACTGTTTTTTTTTGTGCAGGCCATTTTTTTTAATGGATCCTTGGTATTTTGTCATCCTTTGTTGATGAGAAGGATGAGGAAGATGAACAAAAATATGAATAATGTGGAGTCATTCCTTATATATGGCTACAATAGCCAACAAACCATTGTCACTAATCATTCTTACCCATCATTCTTACCAACCATTCCCAATTCAAATGGAATCCAAAGACTTTGACAAGTAGTTATACAAGCGAAATTTGTTTATTTGCAGTTTTTTTGTTTGGTAGGGACTATAATATATAACATAAGNTAATTCAAATGGAATCCAAAGACTTTGTCAAGTAGTTATACAAGAGAAATTTGTTTATTTGCAGTTTTTTTGTTTGGTAGGGACTATAATATATAACATAAGCGTATAACATAGTGTACCTATATTGTTTTTGAGATAAATTCTATTCATCTTCTTCGTTTTCATCGTCCAAGCGCCTCAGGCTACTGTGTGTGATAGTTACTTATATATAACCTACACTTGAATTGACATGCACAGTTATACAAACAACAGTGTGCACCCCATTTTCAGATTTAGGTTACATATAAATAGTTTTATTCACAATAGTAGCAATGCTAAAGAGGTGAAAGTTTGTTGTTGGTGGGATATATTTGTTGAATGAGATATACTTGTTGCAGGTATGTGCTGTGTTTTATAATAGATTGTTCTTTTATTTTATTTTTTTCATAATGTGACTTAATTCACATTAATATGTTCACATAGTAAGAACAGGTTGTTGGATTTCATGGCCATATGATGTACAGTGCTATTTCAATAAAACCCAATGCGAGAATTATTACACAACCCCTTGCCCTATGGCGTGCACACCTTCAAAAAGCGTTGACAGAGAAGGGTAAGCAATTGCAGCTAACAAAAGGAATCCTTACCAAAAAAGAAAAAAAAAGTGGAATTCTTACCCAAAAAAAATGGTGTACTTACCTAACTCTATTTTAGTTTTCCTACTATTCTGCACTACCAGAAAAATCTGGTAACATTACTCCAAAAAAGAGGTAATATTACCAAAAAAAAAAAATTACAGGGAACCTTGAAAAATGGTAGTCTTACCCCAACTCAAAAAGGCAATACCCACAAATCTGGTAACATTACAACACTCACATTGAAATGTCTTTAATTTTTTATTTTTTTAAGAAAAGAAAATTTTATTGATATGAATTAAAAAATTACAAGAAACAAAGAGCATTGCAACTTACAAGAATCAAAGAATTCATGAATAACAAACAAAACATGGCCATATTTGGCTTTAATCCTTCAAGATACACAAGTATTAACTACATTATTTCTAGTAAACTCTCCTCCACCATCTACTGCAGTAACCACCATCATCAAAAACCAAACTAGTCTTGGTTCGCAAAGTAGGTAGACAAGTATGATCTTGAAACAAACTCATTCTAACAGCAGTAGGCAAGGAACTGCAACTCGAAATGTGTGATGAGAATCCATCCAACACCGCTTTATTTGCCAATCTATCAGCAACAGAATTGGCCTCTATAAACGTGGGTCAATTGAAACTGCATTCTTCCCAAAATCTGCCTGATCTATGTGGCCAAGCACATTTCACATCTCCTTTAATTGTTTTCACCAAAACCATAGAATCTGATTCAACCTGAATATTATAAATAGTCAAACCATATCTTTCTACCAAACTCAATCCATCCACCATGACTCCAAATTCAGCTCCCATATTCGAACAAATACCATAGGAAAAGGACGCAACCAAAACCACTGCCAGAACTCTATTTATACACAAAATGCACTGCCAAAATTACAAAATTACATCATTTATTTATACACAAAAAAACGTGAAAGTTTGCTGTTGGTGAGATATACTTGTTGAATGAGCCATATTTGGTTTTAATCCTTCAAGATACACAAGTATTAACAACATTATAATAAAAAAAACTCCTACAACTGTCCCACTGCATACTCATCAATGGAATCGACCATGTAAAGGACCTCATACCCATTCTTCTTCAACTTCTCAAGGAATTGTAGGACTGCGTCACGGGCTTCTACACATATGAAGGTCCTCGTTGAGACTTCCTTGGGCTGCACTACCTTGCCAAAACAGTTTCACATTTCTGCACAGGCAAAAATTAAACGAGAACAATCATATGGCACACTAACTATGATTTGAAAAAACTTAATTCTGCCATGGTGAATAGATAGTTAAGTATGACTTACAGAACCCAAATGGCCAGACTATCCACAGGTATAGCAGGAAACTAGTCTTGGACTCTTATTTATATATTCAGCACAACAGAGATGGCCAAAATCCTTGCAGACATGGCATTGCATTTGCTGTCAACATGGAAACACACAATAATCACAAAAGAGGAATCCAAATTCATTCTTCTATAATGGGGATTGGACCATTTGCCATTGGTGGCATGGAAAGTTTATGCAAAGGTTAATACCCTGAGATCATCGGAACTATACTCATTGTTGTTGCATGAGAACATATTGTGTCCTGAATCGCCACATCTTAAATAGATATCTAAACTTTGATCCTTTGCTGCATCTTTCTCTGGAAAAACTTTGGTGAGGCAACCTTTTCGATTGTAGATATGTGGTTCATACTACTGCAAGATCCCAAACAACACGAAAAAAATAAAAAAGAAGAGGAAATGCGAATGAAATCCAATAGGGTACATACTTTGTTTTTCCATTGGTCTTTGTAACTCTTAGAGCTTTTAATTTCAAGATGACTTTTGTCATTCCCAACATCTTTAGAATGAGAACCTATAAAGCCAATCTAACTTCATAAGAGTTTAATGGCTTATAAGCCCTAAAGATTCATTCTAACAAGTGTGTTTCCTGGAGAGATACTATGGACCACTTGACTTATACCATAAGTAACGAAATGTAAGGGAATTCAAAATTCCTAGTAAGATTCTCTCTCCAAATTGTAATATCATTATATATATAATAAGAAAGAGAAAATTCATTCACAACAATGATTTAAGAGATTCACACGAAGAAGAATCATGTAGAAAGGACAAACGCTTGACTTTTGATGACGCGATGAAAATGTGATAGTAAAACAAAATAATTTCACAAAGAATATATTTTAAACCTGCTTGCAGCGCTTTGCATTGTGCTTAAAACCACCACATATATAGCATGGTTTCTTCCGTTTTCTCAGAGTACAGTTTGCTTCTGTGTGATCATCTTCACCACAATTGTAGCACATCCCCCAACTGCTTTCTGGGGAATGAAAATATCTTGGATCCCGCTACAACATCAATATAGCATGTATTTAATGCGGGCAAAATAAGCATTTACATCAAACAAGTCCTTGTACTTGTAGGTTAACTCACGAGAAGCTTCCGTAGCACCATATTGTCATTTCTCTTAACCAGTTGCATTTCCAACGATATCTTTATTTTTGCATCTGTATTTGAATCCATATGTTTCTCTTCCTCCACAGTATCAGTCTAGAGCAACAAAATTGTTAGAAGGAATTAGCTTAAAATTTAATCCTTCTTTCATAAGCATGGACATGGACAAGGGTGACAGACATGACACAAAACCCAAAATGAAAAATCTTCAAGTAGGAGACAGACACAGAAAGAACATGGCACAAACATTGCAACCATTGCTTAGCATGGGAATCACACTAGTTATAGGAAGTGTTTCATAATCAGAATCTTCTAGATTCTGATTATCTCATAAGATGCTTAATCAGGTATTTGTTGCGCCTAAGCAAGCACCCCTAATGTACCTGCTAGCAGAATCCTGAATCAGAAAGAAAGAGGACAAGATTAGTTAGAATTCAATATCAATATGCTACTTGGACCACATCATCTGACCCAAGTCTTTGAATTAATCCATTGATGTCCTTGAACTAACAGTTGATCTCATCCAATATTAACACAAATTAGATAAGCAATTCGGCAAAGTTATGACCTTACTTACACCTCAATCAGTGCACTTCCATAATCATATACATATAGAGAGAGCACAAATTATCTTTAAAACTTACTGGGGGCCTCTGGGACCCATCATTCTCAGACACCATAGCTGGTTTTGTTTCCAACACTTTTGTTATCCTACTAGTTTCTTCCACCTATACCAAGGCAAAGTTTTAGATGTTGATTTCAAAGAAAATGATTTTATATGCTATTTAAAACAAATAAAGCAACCTTTTTTTTGTTTTTTTTTCCTCCTTTGGCAAATGATTATATTTTCTTAAACAAAAACTATTTGTCTTTTGCAACTAACAATGTTGTGTGTTTTGAGAGAGAGGGGGGCAAAAAAGAGAAATTCACATTCCCACAAATAAATGAGAGATTCAATCTAACAATCTGGAATTCATAGTTTTGTAAAAAAATGCGTGAAATTAGTATTAGAACATACCATTGCATTTGGACTTACAGATTCAATCATTTGCTGCTTCTTCCTCCTATTGTTTATGTTTCCTTTCATATTTTTCTTCCTCATTTTTGCCTCGAAAGCCAACATCGTAGTGAGCTGTGGGAAGCTGCTCAAATCCTCCAACATTTTGTGCTCTTCGGATTTAGTCCTATATACATACTCCTCTTTAACCCCACCACCACCATTCAATATAATAGTGTTGAACAACTTTCCCTCGTTTTGATCTTCTTCTGCTTCTCTGCTCTCTCTCTCCGATCCATTATTCCGATCATTTTTCACAGCTTCATCGCAACTGCTATCAAGTGAAATCACTCATATTTTAGGTTTTGAGTTCTCATTTGCTGACATTTTCTCCGGTTCCCAACAACCACTATTTGATATAATGTTGTTCAACACTTTGTCCTCTTTCTGTTCTTTTTCTTCTCTAAATTCTCTCTTCGATCCTTCGTTTTGATCATTTATCACATCAGAACTATACTTAATACTGCATGAGAACATATCGTGTCCAGAATTGCCACATCTTAAACAGATAACTAAACTTGGATCCTCTGCTGCATCTTTCTCTGGAAAATCTTTAATGAGGCAACCTTTTCCATTGCAGTTATGTAGTTCATACCGCCGCTATAAGACCCCAAACATCCAAAAAAAAATAAGGAAGAATAAGAGGAAATGTGAATGAAATAAAATGGACGGTTGATATATAACGAAGAACTTCCACCGTTGATCAAATCTAGCACTTTTTACCAGCTACCCACCACTGAGGTTTATGATTGCATAAAAAAAAACAGAAGAAGAAGATGGAGTCGCAATCTCTTGATCTTTACGCTTCAAGAGATTATAAAATCATCGTCATTTATTAAAACTAAGATTAAGTGGTAGTCCTTTCATAAAAAAAAAATCAGACGCTTCAAGAGATTATAAAATAATCGTCATTTATTAAATCTAAGATTAAGTGGTAGTCTTTTCATTAAAAAAAAACTCATACAGGAAGAACGAAAAATATGAAGTTGCAGAATTGTATTTATCCTATGAACCTTCAAGAGATTATAAAATCAACATAATTTATTAAAACAAAGATTGACATAATAGTAAAATCATAAAAAAAAAAAAAAAACTCATAAGACGAAGAAGAAGGAGAAAAACAAAAGTCAGACCACTGTTTAGATTAAGAATATCACTTTGGTTAACCTTAACGTTTTTTTTGGTCAAGAGTACCATTTCTTTTTTGTTAACATTACTATTTTGATTACCACTTTTTTGGTTAAGAGTAAAAAACTCAGACAGGAAGAAGGAGATATATGGAGTTGCAGAATTGAATTTATCCTATGAACCTTCAAGAGATTATAAAATCATTATAATTTATTAAAACAAAGATTGAGATTATAGTAAAATCAAAAAAAAAAAAAAACTCAGAAGACGAAGAAGAAGGAGAAAAACAAAAGTCAGACCACTGTTTAGATTAAGAATATCACTTTGGTTAACATTACCTTTTTTTTGTTCAAGAGTACCACTTTTTTTGTTAAGATTACCATTTTGATTAAGAGTACCACTTTTATGGTTAACATTACCACTGTTTAAGTTAAGATTACCACTTTTTAGATTAACATTACCGCTTTTTATGCTAAGATTAAAACTTTCTTGGTTAAGAGTACCACTTTTATAGATTAACACTTTTTGGATTAACATTACCACTTTTTATGCTAAGATTACAACTTTCTTGGTTAAGAGTACCACTTTTATGGATTAACTCTTTTTGGATTAACATTACCACTTTGTATGCTAAGATTACCACTTTTTGGACTTATCATTACCACATTTTATGCTAAGATTATAACTTTTTTGGTTAAGAGTACCACCGTTTTGGTAAACATTACTACTATTTTGGTTAATAATACCACTAATTTGGATAATATTACAACTTTTTTAGTTAATATTACCACTATTTAGTTCAAGAGTACCATTTTTTTTGTTAACATTACCTTTTTTGGGTCACGAGTATCACTTTTTGGGTTAATATTACCACTATTTTGTTTAAGAGTACCACTTTTTTGGTAAACATTACTATTATTTTGGTTAAGAGTACCACTGATTTTGATAATATTATCATTTTTTTTGTAAACATTACCACTATTTATGATAAGAGTATCGCTTTTTGGGTTAACTTTACAATTGTTTTGGTTAAGAGTACCACTTTTTTGGTTAACATTATCATTATTTTAGTTAAAAGTACCATTTTTATGGTTAACATTACGACTATTTAAGTTAAGATTACCACTTTTTTAGTTAACATTACCATTGTTTAGGTTTAGTAACACTTTTTGGGTTAACATTACCACTATTTAAGTTAATATTACAACTTTTTTGGTTTATATTGGTTAATATTGTCATTTTTTTGGTTAATATTATCACTTTTTTTTGGTTTACATTACCACTTTCTTGTTAACATTACCATTGATTAGGTTAATATTAACACTTTGTTGGTTAAGTGTACATCTTTTTTGTTAACATTACATGTTTTTTGGTTAATATTACCACTCGTTTGGTTAAAATTACAATTCTATTGATTAAGATTACCATTTTTTTTTGTTAATATTACATTTTTTTTAGGTTAACATTACAATTCTTTTGATTAAAATTACCATTGTTTTGGTTAAGATTATAACTAGAACCATTTTGTTGGTTAAGAGTACAACAAAATGGTATCGAAAACTGCACAAAGTAATATATCTTCTTCATTCCTAAATTCTTTGAACCTTTAAGGAAAGAACATTTGCAATGTTATTCTTTGTCAATTTTAAACCTTACATACACCTCAATCAATGAGAGATTCAATCTTACAATCTAGAATTCATAGTCAGTAAAAAAAAATGCCTGAAAAATTAGTGTCAGAACATACCATTGCATTTGAACCTACAGATTCAATGTTTTCTTGCTTCTTCCTCCTCTTGTTTCTGTTTCTTCTCCTGCTCTTCTTCCTCATTCTTTCTTCGAAAGCCAACATCGTAACGAGCTGTGGGAAGCTGCTCAAATCTGCCAGCATTTTGCACTCTTCAGCTTTGGTCCTATATACATATTCCTCTTTAACCCCACCACCACCATTTGATATACCGGTGTTGAACACCTTACCCTGGTTCTGTTCTTCTTCTTCTGCTTCTTTGCTCTCTCAAATCCTTCATGTCGAACATTTGTTATAGCTTCATCGTCACAGCTATCCAATGTTAGACACAGTAATGGTTACTTGATTAGCACATGATCATAGTTTGGTTATAGAGAAACGTATGACAAATGACTTCACTACTTTGTCTTTTGGTAATAGAGAAACGTATCAATTGCATGTCTAATAACTATAAAATAATTTTTGGATGGATAAAAATTGAAGACATAAAATGGAAGAAGAGCATAAATGTGCAAATNTAAATGACTTCACTACTTTGTCTTTTGGTAATAGAGAAACGTATCAATTGCATGTCTAATAACTATAAAATAAATTTTGGATGGATAAAAATTGAAGACATAAAATGGAAGAAGAGCATAAATGTGCAAATTTACTTGTTTCAACTTATTTATAGTTTGATTTAATAAGATAGCTAAAAAATAAAAATTATAGTTGTGATTCAACAACATCACTCATGACCAAAAAAAAACACCACCTTCTTAATTTAAAACACAATTTTTTAGTATTAAATTAAAAAAAAAACTTGGATTGATCATAACCTTTTTTTAAGAATTGATTCCAAAAAAATATAATTTTTGGGATCAAGTTATTTATTTATTTATTTTTTGGTTCAACCATTACGGGTGTCTGGTTCATCTTATGCATACCTCAACTAATTTCCTCTTTAGTCTGGTCAAAGACAGGTCATTCACGTTGAGACTAGGGTCTTTATGACCTAACTCTAAGGGTTGCCAAAATTCGAACTCAGATCATCTAAGTTTAGAACTCGTCGTTGTTACAATTTCAGCTATCATTAGATATTCAAGTTACATCTTTGAGATGTTGGGCAGTGATCCCACAAATTTAGTATAATGAATTCTAAACTTTTTAAATCAATCTCAAATGCCACCAAAATGATATGCTACCCAAGAAAAAAAATACATTAGGATATGATATTGGAAAAACCTTTTAATATAAGTCCATCTTAATGACACAATTATCATTGAATAACTATGTAGGGTCCGAGTAAATATTGGGTGTAACGGTAATATTTTTAAGTTATTACATGATATCATCATAATATTTTCAAAATCTAAAACACCCAATCTATAACATCTATTCAAACTATAACAAAATTTATCAAACTTATTTAAAAAAATATAACATTGAAAACACCAATTGGTTAGGTTGTGGGGGAAAGGGGTCTGTGTAAGAGGGGAGTTTGGGTGGGCGAGGTGTTTTGTGTGTGTTCTGGGGGGTGGGTTGAACTTGTCCAGAGGGTGAAGAGGGGGGTCTGTGCAAAAGGATAGCTTTGGGGGGAGGTGGGTTTGCGTATGTGTGTTTATTGAAAATAGGGGGTTTGTGTGTGTGTTTCAAGAAGATGACGCAGAGAGGGGAGGAGAGAGAAATACCTGGAAGACGGTGGCACTATGGGGGTGGCGTTGTGGCAGTGGCGTCGTGGTACTGTCGAGTCGTGTGTGTTGCGAGACAAAGAAAGACAAAGACAGCTGCGAGACAAAGAAAGAGAAAGACAGGAAAGAGAGAGTCTCCGGCCAAGAGTTAGGCAAGGGAGGAGAAGCGTCTGAGAAGAGGGAGAGAGAACTGAAGGGTTGGTTTCTTGGGGCATGTATAGCGTGTTGGGGAAGCCTCTGAAAAAATAGAAATTTGAAACAATTATTTGAAAATTTTTAAATAAATCATTTTTTTAGGAGAAAAAAAATCGTTTAATAAAAAATGTATTTCAATAAAATAAATAAATTCCTCACATATTTAACTAAAATAATATCTATAAAATCCTAGCATAAAAAAAATAAAATAAAATAAATTTAAATCATACGTAACCAAAAATAATGAAGTGGTAAATGTACCAAAGTTGTAGTATTATCTAAAAATTGGTGACCTTACTCAAATATATGTTAACTTAATAATTGTAATATTAACCAAAAAACCTTCCCCACAAATCTTGCTAAAC